GGCACGGGAGCGAAGACCTGCCGCAGGGCACGCAGTCCAGCACGGAAGCTCAGCTTGCAGCTCCTCCCCAGGCTCGGGCAAGACCTTTCCAGGGATGGCGAGTGGGAGCACCTGCCCCCGGGTCCCAGCAGCCTGCAGGCTGGATTGTAACCCCAACTAGTAGCTTGCATTAAAATCTGCTTGGGACCTGAGACGAACGCTAATCCTAACGGGTGCTAAAATCCATGGTTTTTTATCTTCATTGCTACTCAGCTGCCAGTTCGCCGGCCCAGGTTAAAACAGACCCTGCCCTTAGGGCAAACATACCCTCCTGCTGCCCGCTGCCCGGCAAGAACAGCTCCCCACGCTTCGGAGAGACAGAACGGGGCGTTGCAACCACGCCAGTGGCCCGCAAGGATGCCCAGAGCGCCCCATTTCTGCACTCTCCCAGGAGCAGAGCTGCTGACTTCATAACTACGTTCCCAGTTAGGGCCTGCTCTTGCAAACATCTCACGGCACCGATCCGGCCATCACAAAGTCATTTCAGCAAGGGAAAATGCCTCAGCTCTTCAAGGTCCCTCCACCTCAGCCAGGCCCTTAGTAGACCCTGCCTGGGGAGGAGAGTGCCTGCACCCAGCCCTGCTCCATGGAGCCGGCAGCGTAAGAGCCTGCCTACGCTGACATTTCAGCGTGGAGCCAAGCCTTCGCAGGGCCAAACGGCCCCTGGTCACATCGCAAATCCAGGCTAAGGAGCTGCTGCGGCCCAGGCTCGAAGCCTCTCTCCTGAGCGGAGTGGTCCGAACACATCCAGCCCCGGGGCGAGCTTGTGCCTGCGCGACGGTCAGGCAGGCGAGGGCCGGGAGCCCTGCAGCCCCATCGGGCAGCGGGGAGCCGGACCCGGCACAGAGCCGTGGGAGGGCGCAGAGCCTGAGCTACAGGTGAGCAAGCAAAAGGGATGGAAAACACTCAGATCACAGCTCTCCCATGCACCTTCGCCACACGGTGTAGGCTTCATCACCCTGTCCTGCACTCAGGAGCAACCCAAGTCCTTTCAGTCGGCTCAGTGAGGACCTCAGGAGGCCTTCTGCTGAAGGCACTGCTTGACAACTCATCACAGCCCGCCTGCCCGGCCCTGTGCTCCAGCACGCTGGAGACAATCAGGCAGCAGGTCTCTCCTGGCAGGAGACTCTGCAGGGCCAAATCCACAGTATCACCTAGGAAAAAAAAATTCAATGGATTTTTCTGGTAAAGCAAACTAAATCCCAGAAAGAAGAGACTGGAAATCCCCAAATCTACAAGGGACATGCTACTGAGGATGCTGAAGATGGACACACAGAGCAGCTTTCATCCTGAATCAGAGAAGCTCTGAGCGGCAGACAGGCACTGAAACGAATTACACAACTCTGGTGTGCTAAATGCAATTTGCCACTGCAGTTACACCTCTCCATGGCCTTGTTCAAACACCAAAATAGTCTGGGATTCACCAAGAGGAAGCAGCCCATATTACCTGCTGGGGATTACAGAATGTCATCAGCCATCAGCTTTGACAAGGAGTGACATTATTATTGCTCCACATGGCTAGTTAAAGTAATATAAAAAGACTTCTGTCCTCCTGAGTCTTCAGTGATTGAATTAGCATGATCACCCCTTTTTCCAGTAACATAAACCTGTTTTTAAATCAATAAGACACATATTTCACAAGCAGCTTTTACCATATAACATTAATATGAAAGTAGTCACCACAGCCTTTGATCCTACCATCCTTTTGCTGTCTGATGGTTCAAGAAATAAAAGGAACACCCTACAGTGCACTGTTCCAGTTACTGGGCAATGCCCTTTTACTCTTGCTGAGAACTTGCCCCTGCCACTGCATCAAAGGATTCTTCCCA